TTTACATATAGATGAACTGTTGGATTTTCCAGACCAGCAGGTTAAAGGAAGTCATTTATGGGGTCACACTCTGACACACACACATACATATACACCTCCACATTCCAATGTAAGGAACAAACGCTCACTGAAGTATAAATAAAGACCAGGGCAGTCTCTCATTGCTAGTCTTTGAGGCTCACTCTTGTGTGTGAGCTCAAAGCTGCCCTTGCTAGCAAGAAAATCTGTGTGTTTCTCCTCTCTGATTCTCAGCTGATGAAGTGTTTTAGAATATATCTCTTAACAGTTTTACTGTCTCATTTCACTCATTAAAAAAAACGTAACCCCTGAAAACTGACCCAATCAGAGTTGATGTCACAGCTCCAGGGTGCCGGCATATCAAATGCTCGTGCACTGCAGTGTTGCTGTCAAAGATGGAAAGCAGTCTGCATTTAACTTTGTTTTTTCTTTCTTTTTTGTTTTCTGTGAAATGCTTTCAGATTTTTAACAATTCTTAGTTTCCATTTTCTGCCATTTTTCCGTTTGTGCAGCGTTCTTTTTCGTTAGCATTAAGTGTAGTCTTGGCAGACGATGTTGATGATACTGTCCCAATAGCTTCCTGTAGTATACTGCACTTACAAAAACACATTTACGATGTATTAGTATTAAGACGTGCTGACAATAAAATTATATGTCAAAAAACATTTTATAGTCAACATCATTGATTATGTCAACGAATCGTTGCAGCACTAATGAACAGAAGAAACCTGCATCAGGGCTCTTTAAGCTTACACTGTAAAAAATAAAGAAATAAGAGGCTAATACTTACAAAGGAGTAAGAAAACTTTAAAATTGATCAAAATACAGTTAAACATCCCAATTTTATGCCCTCCTTCTTTGAAATGTAAACATTTTCCAAAGCTATCCAGTGATTTGGTGGGCTGCTTTTGGCCCACAGGCTGTATGTTTGACATCTCCGCTATGAACCTTTTCTTGAGGCAGTAAAGGGATTTTAGGAGCAGAGGGCAATATTTAGATACTTTTCATTCTTGAACTTAATGTCTTACCTTGTTTTCATTGTATGATAATCATGATTGGAAACGGCTAATGGGTAATATACATGTAATATGTTAAATGTTGCAAGGTATGGGCAACATTTTAAACTGTTTTAATGCAAGTACCTTTCATTCTTTCTCTGCAAGGCACAACCTATGAGTTACACTCTTGCTACTTGATGCAGAGTTACACACGTCACTAACTAATGTTCTGTTTGTGCGTCTGGATGAAGAATGAAGAGGCGACCCCTGACTCTAGCTTCTGCTGGAGCCGATAACATGAAGATGGACTTCTCCCAGTCAGAGGTAAGAAACAACGTTGGAGTTTGTGTGACTGTGTTAGTTCTGCACTCGCAGGCAGTGAACATTCCTTACCGTATAAGGAAACCAGAACCTTATATGCAAGTGTGCCTGCAGTTGGAAACTAGAGCTAAAAAGCTTGCCCCAAATTCCTACATTTAAGGATTAACAGAAAAATATCTAATCATGCAGTTCAAGACAAGATTTACAAATTTTAAGCACAACAATGACAACTTTTAACAAAATCACTCTAACAGACTGTTGCTTTTTTGTGCATGGTTGTAAATGGCATTTTATCTGCTGGATAGCACTAACATCTGAGTCTACTGCATGCAGTTCTGCCCTTTGTTTCTGTTAGATAAACATCTGTATACAGTTGTGTGCACACAATTTAAAAAAAAAAAAAAACGCATTAAAAAAACAAACGGTCAAAACACTGTATTTTTTGTTCATTAACAGACAATCATTTTTAATTGATCCTGTGTGGATTCCTGTTAATTATGATATGTCTAAAATTTTGGGCACCCTATTATGGGAACACTTAAGGGGAAAATGTTCTACTCCTGAACAATGATGTAAACAAGACTTTTTGTAAATTATCCCAAGACATTCAGGCGATAGCTTTTAGATTACATTCACAGCCCCTTCCTGAAAGAGCCTTGAAAATCTGTAGATCATAAATATGCTGTGTGTGCAAGACGGCTACAAAATTTATTTTTTTTTCACTTGAAAAATGAACACAGCAGTATACATGTGTTTTTGCGTACAGGTGCAAAAGCTGATGGAGCAGGAGGTTCCCAGTGCAACTGAAACTAAACTCCAGGGTTTAATAGAAAGTATTCAAAAGCTTGAACATGGAGTGAACTTTGAAAGGTCCATTGAAAAACTTGAGGTCAGTACTGCATATGTTTACATATCTGTCCAGTTTTTAATTAATGGCATCTCACGTGTGGACATATTCATCGCCGCCCATTGTTTTCTTTTTTTTTCGGTCTTTCTTCTTGTCTCTCTCCATGCTTCCCTGTTTTAATGTCACCAAGCTATCTTAAAATCAGTCTCTAGGTCTGTCATGTTCTTTTTTTGTGCATTTGTTCCTAAATTTTAGAGCAAGCGGTAAAACTTTTGGGCATCTATACTTAAATGCTTTGCTTCTTTTATTGATTTTTATGCTGATTTTTTTCCCTTTTTTCCATATGAGCTTACCTGCGAT